AATGTAGGGTGTTTATTGTAAGAAGTTAGTTGTGGTGGGTATGGTAGCCAGTCAGGCCACCCCACCCCACCCACACGTAATATACTTAGACATTTAACCCTTTGAGGGTCGACAGGCCCTCTCCGAAACTCGTTCTCAGGGTCGGCCAAATTTAAAAAAAAAAAAAAATTATTTTCTCTTATGAAAAGATAGAGAATCTTTTCCCGATCATAAAGACACCAAAAGTTTGAAATTTGATAGAAAACTTACGAAATTATGCTCTCGCAAAGTTAGCGGTCTCGGCGATGTTTACGCATCGGCGATTTTGCCCACTTTGAGCCCCATTTTCGGCCAATTTCACTGTACTAGTCGACAAAAAACATGAATATTTCGCTAGAACTCCAGTTTTTCTATCGAATGGGTGCAAGAAACCACCCATTTATGAAATTCAACTATCCAGTACAGTGGTCAGAATTTAGCAATTTTGCCAATTTCACACAAATTTCAAAAGATGCCAATTTCCGAATAGGGTCCAGAATAAACAAGAAAGACATTCCTGGCACTAAAATGACATTTCCTCTAGTCATTAGTCACGTCTCAAGGCCCCTCTTATAATCTTTTGCTTTCCATTTTGAATTTTTATTCTCACAAAAAATATAAGATTTACTGTTATGCAGACTACTGCATTAGTGTAAAAAATGGTATAAATATTATTGGTGCACTTGTGAAAGAATATTAGACTCACCAGTTGACGTGTATTGCACGCTTGGCATGATTTGTTTACTTTTGAAGTTTGGTAAAAATCGAACATTTCTGCTACTTTGAGCTCAATTTCAAGGCACCTTTCATTGTAAAACCAGCCAAAATCATCTCAATTTCTGTAATATGTCTTCCATTCTATAAAATGAGACCAAGAAAACTAGAATACAACAATAAATACCATACAAAAATACACTGAAAAGTCGCTGATTTATTCCAAAAAAATGGTCAAAGTTTTTTTTTTCTCATTATGCACTGTGTGCTGCAGGATTTTTTTTAGACTGTGCACACTGACCACATAGACCCATTCTTTCATATGAAGGCCTACCAGCTTTCTCCCACTAGATTTGAGGCCGCTAGAATTTATGCGTACTAGTACGTCAAAAACCCCTACGCGTAAGACGTACTAGTACGACGAAAACCCTCAAAGGGTTAAAGAGCCCTAGAGCGATAAAAGGCATGTAGTGTACACTCATTCCTTACCTTAAAATATTTGTAGTCTTAATGGTCTTATTATAGGGTGTAAGGTGAATAGTAGGGTAGGTAGGTATCGAATAGTGTTGTAGGTATCGTAACCCCCATCTGGCCACCCCACCCACACATTATATACTAGGCATTTAAAGCACCCTAGAGTGATAAAAGGCATATACAGTACACTCATTAATTACCTTAAAATATTAGTAGTCTTAACCCTTTCAGGGCCCAGATGCCAAATTTCAAAGTAGACACCAGTGTCCAAGAATTTTCAAAAAATAATTTTGTTATTTTTTCTTGTGGAATGGTAGAGAACCTTTTTCTGAAGGTAATAAAACAAAAAGTACGAAATTTGATGGAAAATTGACGAAATTATGCTCTTGCGAATTTTGATGTGTAGGTGATATTTATGCATCAGCGATTTTGCCGACTTTGACTCCCATTTTAGGCCAATTACCTTATTCCAGCTGATCAAATTCTTAGCTATTTCACTAGTATTACTTCTATTCTATCAATTGAGCACAAGAAATTGCCAACTCAGCTGTTTCAACTACAAAATAAAGTGATTGGAAATTGGTAATTTGGCCAATTTAGTGCAAAGTTCAAAATATTCCAATTTCAAAATAGGGTCCAGAATAAACAATGCAGGCATTCCTGGCACTAAACTAACATTTCCTCTGTTCATTAGTTACGTTTTCAGGCTTTACAAATGAATTCCATTTTTATTTTTAATTCACATTTGTGAACATATATTAGACCCACCAGCTGGCATGTATTAGACGTGTGAGGTCATTTGTTTACTCTTGAACATTGACAAAAATTTAACATTTCCCCTACTTTGATCTCAGTTTCAAGCCATTTTCAATACTAACACCAATCAAAATCATCTCTATTTCTGTAATATACCTTCCATTCTATCAAATGAGACCAGGAAATCGCAAATACAATTATAAAACACGTACGAAAAAACACTGCAAAGTTGCTGTTTTAATCGAAAATTACAGTCTCGGTTTTTTCTCTCGTTTTGCACTGTGTGCTGGAGGATTTGTTTTATGTGCTGCACACATACCACATAGATGTATTCTCTCATGTCAAGGCCCAAATTTACCGCTTACAGCTTATCAGAGTGAACTGAGCTTATGGCATAGATCTACGGTTTGACCCTCAACATAAAGCCGTAGATCTACGGCATGGACCCTGAAAGGGTTAATGTAGGGTGAGAGGTGGGTAAACGAGATTAAACAAATAAACGAGAGAGAAAAAGAGAATGAGTACATGAGAGAGGACAGACGCAAGTTATGTAAACAAACCAGTCAAACGCGTATGGTTTTAGTTCACTTCGCCAAGCCGACTAGAAAAAGTTTCATATTTATGTTAATTTATTCTACTGTGGGTATATTTATTATGTTTATATGTTACATAGCATGTTTATTATATAATTTTGAAAAAAATATCATATGTGGATTAAGCAAAATGTCTGTATTAACGTTTTATACTACATTTAATATGCCTCAGAGTGATTATTATTGTTATTATTATCATTATTAACCCTTTGAGGGTTTCAGCCGTACTAGTACGGCTTACGACCCAGGGATTTTGACGTACTAGTACGCCTAAATTCTAGCGTCCTCAAATCTAGTGGGAGAAAGCTGGTAGGCCTACATATGAAAGAATGGGTCTATGTGGTCAATGTGCACAGTATAAAAAAATCCTGCAGCACACAGTGCATAATGAGAAAAAAAAAACTGACCGTTTTTTGGAATAAAACAGCGACTTTGCACTGTATTTTCATATGGTATTTATTGTTGTATTCTAGTTTTCTTGGTCTCATTTTATAGAATGGAAGATGTATTACAGAAATTAAGATGATTTTGACTGGTTTTACAATGAAAACTACCTTGAAATTGAGCTCAAAGTAGCAGAAATGTTCGATTTTTACCAAAGTTCAAAAGTAAACAAATAATGCCAAGCGTCTAATACACGTCAACTGGTGAGTCTAATATTCTTTCGCAAGTGCGCCAATATTATTTATACCATTTTTTACACTAATGCAGTAGTCAGCATAACAGTAAATCTTCTATTTTTTGTGAGAATAAAAATTCAAAGTGAAAAGCAAAAGAATATAAGAGGGGCCTTGAGACGTGACTAATGAACAGAGGAAATGTCATTTTAGTGCCAGGAATGTCTTTCTTGTTTATTCTGGACCCTATTCGGAAATTGGCATCTTTTGAAATTTGTGTGAAATTGGCAAAATTGCTAAATTGTGACCACTGTACTGGATAGTTGAAATCGGTAAATGGGTGTTTTCTTGCACTCATTCGATAGAAAAAAATGGAGTTCTAGCAAAATATTCATGTTTTTTGTCGACTATTACAGTGGAATTGACCGAAAATGGGGCTCAAAATGGGCAAAATCGCCGATGCGTAAACATCGCCAAGACCGCTAACTTTGCGAGAGCATAATTCCGTAGCTTTTCCATCAAATTTCATACTTTTGGTGGTATTATGATCGGAAAATGATTCTCTATCTTTTCATAAGAATTTTTTTTTTTTTTTTTTTTTTTTAAATTTGGCCGACCCTGAGAACGAGTCTTGGAGAGGGCCTGTCGACCCTCAAAGGGCTAATTTGGCATGTTCAAGACTAATAAGACACTTAGTGATTTTAATGTGTACCTGCATGCCAGCACAGTGTGTAAGTTTACTTAGGTGCAGGTACACATAAGTATAATTATCAGAGTACTGTACATGTACAGTATATATAAAATATGAAGTGACTTGAACCCTTTGAGGGTCGACAGGCCCTCTCCGAGACTTGTTCTCAGGGTCGGCCAAATTTAAAAAAAAAAAAATATTTTTTCTCATGAAAAGCATAGAGAATATTTTCCCGATCATAATGACACCAAAAGTATGAAATTTTATGGAAAACTTACGGAATTATGCTCTCGCAAAGTTAGTGGTCTCGACGATGTTTACGCATCGGCGATTTTGCCCACTTTGAGCCCTGTTTTCAGCCAATTCCAGTGTACTAGTCGACAAAAATCATAACTATTTCTCTAGAACTTGATTTTTTCTATTGAATGAGTACAAGAAACCACCCATTTACTGATTTCAACTATCCAATACAGTGGTCAGAATTTAGCAATTTTGCCAATTTCACACAAATTTCAAAAGATGCCAATTTCCAAACAGGGTCCAGAATAAACAAGAAAGTCATTCCTGGCACTAAAATAACATTTCCTCTCTTTGTTAGTCACATCCCTAGGCCTTTCTTATATTTCTTTGGCTTTCCACTTTCAATTTTTATTCTTACAAAAGATAGAAGATTTACTGTTATGCAGACTGCTGCATTAGTGTAGAAATGGTATAAATAATATCAGCGCACTTGTGAAAGAATATCAGACTCACCAGTTGATGTGTATTGGACACTTGGCATGATTTGTTTACTTTTGAACTTCGGTAAAAATCGAACATTTCTTCTACTTTGAGCTCAATTTCAAGGTACTTTTAATTGTAAAACCAGTCTTCCATATTAGGAAGATGGTGAACCGTATAGAGAGTTTTGGTCATAATTTGAAATCGCCGTATTAGCAGAACGCCGTAAGGCAAAATACCATAAAGCTGGGTCCTACTGTAATTATTAGGTGATTGTTTAGTTTGTTTGGGATTAGATCTCAGAAGTTATGATTTATAGTTTATGATTCCAGCTAAGGTTGTCAAATAAGCTGTCATTCTTCATAATTAAAAATACAGTAACAGTGAAAACACTGAACTTAGTTGTTTTAATTGCAGAAGTCGGTTGGTTAATGCAAGTCTCTTAAGCGAAGTACTAGTGCAAGAAAGCCTTTTGGATCACCTCTCTGCCCTTCGTGCACTTCTCTTGTTACATGATACTCACTTTGCTCGTGCTTTAACCTTGAATCTTTCCAGCAAGGTAAGAGTTTTCTTTTCATATACTTGTTCAGATTTGTTATAATCCTTATGTTGTAAAATAATCTCACTACACCAACTTTCTGTCCAGCTACATGAGCTTACAGTGAAAACTGTGGGCTTTAATGCTCACCATTTATATAATTATAAAAATTAAATAATGACAATAATTTCTGTTATAACATTGGAATAACAGATTGTACAAATGCAGTTAAAAAAAAATGTGCTCAGTATTAACCCTTTCACTGTCAGTGCCATAATATTATAGCTTGCAAGCCAATGTTGGTGCCATAATATTACACCAAAATTCTAGCAGCCTCAAATCTAGCAGGAGAAAGCTGGTAGACCTGCATGTTAGAGAATGTGTCTGTATGCTCAGCATGAGCAATATAAAAAAAAAAAGTCTGGGAGGCCACAGTGCATTGTGGGAGTGCCAATTCAGTACGCCTTGTTCACCTTGCCTAGCGGTAAGGAATACCCAACTCCTTGGTGAATTGGGACTCTTCCCAAATGATAGTTCTAACACAGATGGAAGTGTCAGTGAAGATGAATTTCATGGTTTTGAGGAGTTTGACCAAAGGAATGCCCAGTATACCAGAAATAGTGCTGAAAACCTAGATGACCATCAGCCTTCCACCTCTGGTGCTGGGCCGTCTCGTTCATGTTCAGTTGTACCACAGCAAAAGAGGAAACTCATATTTTCCCATGTCTCAAAGAATAAGTAATTGTTTATTCAGGTATACACAAATGCAGTTACATAGATTATCATACATAGCAGCATATGTGTAGAGAATCTAGGATAATCCAAAAAAGTCATAGTGACTTATTTCCATGTTGGTGGTGGGGAAGACAGCATGGTTGGTGGGGAAGACAGTATGGGTAATGTTACAATTGGGATGGATGATATACATGCAACAGCAGGTGGTGGTGTAATGCATCATGTAGCACTAGCAGCACCCCAGGCTGGTAGCTATGCTGCTGACTCAGCACATCCACAACAAAGGACACCTTCAACCACCCATACACCACAACAACTTGCACAACCACAACAACCCACCCACAAAAATGCAGAGACACTCGTTTTTGTGTGGAGTGTAAAACAGCACTCTGCATAACACCATGTTTCAAAGAGTCCCACAAGCTGCAGCACTTCTAGGAATGTATATGTGTATATATATATTATAGAACAATAGTAGTAAATAACTTTTTTAATTGTTAGTTTGTGTAAACAAGTTTTGTAAAAAATATAATATTTGTGCAGTTATTGTGTTGCATACAATGATTGGATATACAGTTTGCATTATATTGGTCTCACAGGCCACAAAAGTTACTTGAAAAAATAAAATATAGAAAAGAAAAGAAAAAATATAATAAAAGTAAAAACAATATTACCGAGTAAGCAGCAGTCGCCGATGTTGTCATCAGCGGTTCACTTTGTCAACTTCACGCTTATATATCTTGGTAACTACTGATCGCAAAAAAAAAAAAATCTTTTATAACACTCGTAAAATTATTCTTAACATTTTGGTGAGGACTTTTTTTTTTTTTTTTTTAACAGAGCAAGTTTGTGAGCAGGTTTTTTGACAGTGAAAGGGTTAAAGACATACCCAAAGTGTTCCATTTTTAGATCAAATAAACTTTTCTTTGCTTATCTCTCTGTTTCATGAATTAATTTAATTTACAGGTAAACACAGCATGCTCTCCTGCAGCTTTGTTAGTACCTGTTGAGTTAAACAATATCCTCAACAGATCAATAGCAGAGTCATGCTGGAGCACAAGTCAGCAAGCTGAAAATCTTTCTTTTGCTATCAAAAGTATTCCTCCAGCATTCACACACACAAGTGAGCATTCCACTGACTTTATATCACAAATTATGATTTAACTCAGGTTTGAGCAATTCTTCTCAAATAAATGTATGTATGCCATTTCTTGATGCTGAAACTTTACAGTTTCCCAGATTTTTTTTTTTTTTTTTTTTTTTGCTGAGAATTCATTTACAAATTTATGTACTGTACTGTACTGTATGTGGTAGTAATTTTTGCTGAATTACTTTTGGACTATATTTCTGTGCTTTTTAGTATGATAACTGTATGGTGCAGGTATTATTATTTTTTTTAACTTAACTGCCATCACCCACTAAGGCAGGGTGACCCAAAGAAGAAAACACATTCACCAACATTCATTTGATTGTTATCTTTCCAGAAGTGTGCTTGCATCATAATCACATTACCCCTCCAACTGCAACATCCCCACCCCTCCTTCAGAGTGTAGGCTCTTCTCTTCCCATTCCAAGTCTTAAGTCTAGCTAACCTGTTTTTCTGAATCCCTTCATAAAAGTTACCCTGCTTACACTTCAGCAGAAAATTTATTTAAAAAACCATCATCTCCATTCACTCCTATCTAACATCTTCACATTAGCCTGCTGGATGCTGCTCAAGCCCCTAAACTCAAAGCCTCTTGTACCTCTTCCTTTCAACCATTCATGAGATGATCCCTTGCCCCTTCCCCACCTTCTGCCCCAGATTTATACACCTTCTTTGTCAACCTGTCCCTGTCCATCCTTTTTGTAGGCCCAAAGCACCTCAGCCCCTCCTCTGTGCTCTTTAGTATACCCTTGGTCACCATGCATCACCTTTTAATATCTCATTTCCAAATTCTTAGCACAATATTCACACCACACATTGCTCTCAAACATGACATCTCCACTGCCCCTAGCCACCTCATCGCTGCAGCATTCAAAACCCATACCTCACACCCATAAACAAGTGTTGGTACCACTGTTTTTTGATATATGGAATGGGAGAGGTTAGAAGAAGAGAGAGGGGCTCATCTGAGCACTCTGTTTTTCAGGACACCATCTTCTAGGACATTTTCACTATATGACTGTTGAAGATTTGTGGAAGTTTTTTTTTTATTACGGTGCCATTATGTTTATTTATGATGATGTATATATATATAGAGAGAAAAATAGCTAAAAGTCAGTAAAAAAAGGCTAGTAACTGATAATTTCATTGTAACTACACATTGCTCTGCTTTTAACAGTCATTCACTTACCCTAAGCATATTTAGACAAATGTTGAATGTGTTACTGATTGATAATGATAATAGAGTGAAAACTCCAGTAATTAAAAGAGAAAGTGAAGGCATCACCATGATAAATGCTTGTGATTGAAGTTCATTGGGCCACCACAGTATACACCGTTTATATATAAGTTGTTTATCACCACGGGAGTCACTGGAAAACTAACAAATGTAACTAAATAAGTTGCTTCCTGTATACCAGTCAATACATGCAGTACTTTCATATCCTCTGCATCATCAGTGCTAAAATGTGAAGCTACTGGAAATAATGTTTATTTACAAATAGAAAGGGACTCCAAGATTTTTATATCCTTTGCTTCCTTCAGTTTGCATAATCAGTGTTATGAGAGGAAATGATATGTAATGTGAATACAGTACCTTGTGTATATTGTATATACTGTACATCAATTTAATTGTTAAACGTTAATTTTATGATAAATGAATGACTTGCATATTCTGAGTTGACAGCTTCTACACTTGAGAGATACCACCCCACTATTTACATATCCACTGCCTCTTTTTTTTTTTTTTTGCATAGGCAAAGCTAAAAATTTAAAGAAACCAAGATATAATGTGCATACAGTACCTACCTCATATACATCAGTTTAGTTGGTACTCTTGTATTTTGTGATAAACAGACAAGTAGGGGGGGTTGTTGATTTTGTTGATGGTAGGATTAAGTGAGATCACAGAGACCCTGGTCTCAGTGATGTAGTTCTGTGTGATGGACAGCGAAAAATTTAAAAATAAATTAGATATGGTATACTGTGGTTCAGGAATACATTTCTGATTATAACATTGGTGCCTGGGGTAAAAAAAAAAAAAATAGGTTTAAAGTTTTGAACACCAGAGTAACGAAAAGTTTTCAAGAATTCGTTAATGTTGTAAGTAGGGGCCGTACTGTATTGCATAATTATGCTGTGATAGTGTTATTAATTAAATCATATATTATTATAGCTAAATTTGTTTCCAGCAAGTGTTGTAGACTGCCTTGATCTTAGGTACCACGTGTGTTGGCCCCACACACTCATTTTAGATGATGCCATCTTGGCCTCATACTCTCAAGTATGGAATTTTTTGGCTTCCCTGCACTACAGCATTTGGACTGCTGATGATCTTTTTCATCATTTATCATCACTCAGTAAGTTAGCTTTTTGTGCATGCCTTTTTCATAAATTTGGTATACGGATTTATTGACTATTTAGGGTCTTTTCTTGAGAAAATATATATGTTACAAGTAAATAATGAATATTTTTTGTAATCATAGTAAGAAAAAGAAAAAGCTATAGTTTCAAATCACAAATGGTTATTTCTTCATTAATACTATTGACTCCTGCAATAGTATTAATGAAATGGCATCATTTTTTTTCAACTATGGCATATTTAGAAGACTGGAGAACATGATCAGAAGTTGCTTTCCTGTAACTGTGATAAAGTAAATATACACATGTGAAAATTAAAACTAATGTGGATTTCCTTGTATTACAGAAATATATTCAGAGTATTCACTTTGATATAGTGTTCCTTTGGTAAGTTTCAAGGGGTTTTCTACTCTGAGTCTGGCTCTGGGCCAGTCCTATCTAGTGCTTGCCTAGTCAACCAGGCTGTTGCTGTTGGTGGCCTGCTGGCCCAGATATCCATAACAGCCTATTTGATCTGGCACTTAGAGACACTTTTCTAGTTTCCTCTTGAAGACCTCTTCACTTGTCCCAGCAGTGTTCCTGATATCTTCTAGAAAGTTGCTCGATAATCTGGGACCATGAATGTTGATACAATCTTCTCTTATGTCCTCGATGCCCTGGGTTTTCACTAGGTTTATTGTACACTTCCTCTTAAATCTCTCGCTCCAGTATACTATGGCAGTGTGCAGATTTGGGAATAGCCCTCATGTGCTTTCTATGTACAGTGAAACTTCTGGTCACGAACGTTTCCGAACACGAACAAATCGGTTCATGACCAGAAAATTCGCCAAATACAGTGGAACCTTGACTTACGAGTGTCCCAACGTATGAGTTTTTTGAGGTACGAGTCATCGCTTGGTCGATTTATTTGCTCTGAGTTACGAGCCAGCTCCCCCCGCTTCCCCCTCAACCCGAAACTTGCTCAACTCGCTTGTTTATCTATGATTTCATGCTTTAAGCCTTTGACTGTTTACGCCGTATAAATACGTCTTATGTGCCACTGTTTCTGACGTGTTTATATGCATAAATTCTAGCGGCTTCAAATCAAGCGGGAAAGGCCTGGTAGGCCTACATGAGAGAGAATGGGTCTCAGTGGTCGGTGTGCACCCTGTGAAAAAAATCTGGGACGTAGCGGTGAATTGTGGGAACGCCATCTTGGTAGTCCATTTTCACCATGCCTCGCGGTAAGAAGTTCCTCACTCCTCGGCGGATTGGAGGTCTTTTGTTCCCAAGTGATAGCTCTAACAGCGATGAAAATGTCAGTGACAGTGAATTCCAGGGTTTTGAAGTGAGTGTGACCGAAAAAAGTGCCCAGGATAATGTAATTAGTGATGAAAACCCAGATGACCCACAACCTTCCACCTCTGGTGCTGGGCCAGCTTGTTCACGTTCACGTTCGCCTGTACCAGGACGAAAGAGGAAACTATTTGGTCGTGTACAACACCCAGATGTTAGCAGTGAATGTGATAGTGATAGTGATTTCAAGGTCATTGAAAGCCGTTCTAGTTGTGACAGTGAGGGTGAATATTCCCCAGTGAAGCGGCAGTATGTATGACGTAGCATGCGGTCTGGTAGTGTTTCATATGCTGTTCCAAGGGGAAGGAGAAACTCGGGGAGCACATCCCGTGGCCCTACACCATGACCTGATAGTGAAGATGATGATATTGGTACGATGGGTATGAATGATGTGAGTGAGGGAGCAGGCAGTGGTGGTGATAGTGATGGTGGCACGACCCATGTGGCACCAGCAATGGGCCACGCTGCTGACTCTGCACAACAACAACAACCAGCCTCACCCGACCCCACACTCCCACAACCTGCACAACCACAACCACGGTACAATATCCAGAACCCACCAGCAGACCGCATTTGGGATTGGCAGGAAGGTGACGAGCTTGTTCCCAGTCCCCATGACTTTGATGAAACACAAAGTGGAATAAAGCCATCATGTCCACTTGGGAACAATGCTAGTGAACTGGAATGCTTTGAGTTATTCTTCGATGAACCCCTGATGGACATCATTGTCAGGGAAACCAACACATACTACGAATGCACCATGGCAAATACAATTCTCTCACCAAAATCATGGCTACACCAGTGGAAGGAGACAACTATGGCAGAGATGTACCTGTTTTTTGCCACAATAATGCTTATGCCACATGTGTATAAGCACACTGTCACCACATACTGGGCAACAGAACGCCTGATTTCAACTCCAGGTTTTAGTGACATTATAGGTGTCAATCGTTTCCTGATACTGTTACGTATGTTACACTTTTCAGACAAAACCAGGCCTGACAGAAGTGACAGGTTATATAAGATCAGAAATGTGTTTATGTACATGAAACAAAAGTGCTGCATGTATTTTTATCCCTTCAGGAAGCTTGTTATTGATGAGTCCTTGATTTTATTCAAAGGAAGACTCTCATTCAAGCAATATATACCAAGCAAGAGGAAATGCTTTGGTATAAAGTTATTTGTACTGTGTGATTGCAGAAGGGGTCTAGTTTTGGATATCATTGTGTACACTGGCAGTAATTCTTTGAGAGATACCATGAAGTTATTGGGTATCTCTGGTGATGTGGTTAGAACAATGATGGAACCATATCTTGGTAAGGGGCATACGTTATATACTGATAACTGGTACACAAGCCCCTTACTCAGTGATTTCTTGCAAGTGAACTTGACAGACGTGTGTGGCACAGTGTGTGGTAATCGTAAACATATGCCAAGGTTCAACGCTGGCACTCGCAGAGGTGAGGTGCAAGCCTTTGCTGCCAATGACATCATGGCATTTCGGTGGCATGACAAACGTGATGTCACATTGTTGACATCAGTTCACCCAAATGAAATGGCACACAGTGGCAGGCACAACAGAAAGACCAATGAACCCATTCTAAAGCCTGCAGCTGTCATGGACTACAACCTCAATATGCGCTTAGTGGACAAATGTGACATGCAGATTGTTGATATTTCCATGCTAAATGCTTATAACATATACAAGTTGAAGACCAACAAAACACCAAAATATGGTGAATTTTTTTTGTCAGTAATCAGACAAATAATCGCAAAGTACCAAGGAGCAACACCTGCAATAGACCAGCGCCCACAAAATTACCAACACACGCGATCTCGTTTGAGGCCTGGTGATCACTACCCCATACAACTGCCTCCTACTACTGCCAAGAAAAATGCTCAGAAGTGTTATGTATGTACACATACCACAAAACGCCCACAAACACACAGAGACACTCATTTTATGTGAGGAGTGTCAAGTGCCACTCTGCATATACCCATGTTTCAAAGAGTTCCACAAGTTGCAGCAGTTCTAGGAACGTGTTCAGTGACTGTACATATGTATATATATTATGGAACAATAGTAATAAACATTGTTTTGTATTGTTTGTTTGTGTAAACAAACTGTATACACAAACTAATTGTGATAAAGTTTGTTCAGTTATTGTGTTGTAAACAATGAGTGTATATTTGAACAATGCACCTTACATTGGTCTCACAAGCCACATAAGTTACTTGGAAAAGAAAAATATTGGAAAATACAAGAAACTTTTGAATTAGAGTAAATAAAAGAATACCGGGTGGGCGGCAGTCGCCTCTGTTGCCGTACGCACCTCACTTTCTGCAAACTTTGCGGCTTTATATCTTGGTAAGTACTGATGGCAAAAAATTTTTTTTAGGCTTAAAACACACAGAAAAATAATCCAAACATTTTCATAAGAAAAAAATAATTTTTTTTTCGAATATTTTGCGACATAGAATGACAGTTTCAGAAAGGGGCCTATGACAGTCAAAGGGTTAATTACAAGGAAATCATCCTCTTTTTCTTCTCAGCATTGTCCTTTACACTTAACTTTCTTAGGACCCATGCTTAGAAAAACGAAATTTGGCCAAATGACTGTAAAAAACATAAGCAAAGCTCGAGAGAAATACTCCCACACCGAGGTAAACAGTGCACTGAGTTGGTGGCATTCTAAAGCTCTTGTTGTTGTTGTTATTATTATTATTATTATTATTATTATGTATGTATTATTTTTTTTTTTTTTTTTTAACCAACCGGCCGTATCCCACCAAGGCAGGGTGACTCAAAAAGAAAAACAAAAGTTTCTCTTTTTAAATTCAGTAATTTGTACAGGAGAAGGGGTTACTAGCCCCTTGCTCCTGGCATTTTAGTCGCCTCTTACAACACGCATAGCTTACGGAGGAAGAATTGTGTTCCACTTCCCCATGGAGATAAGAGGAAATAAACAAGAACAAGAACTAGAAGGAAAATAGAAGAATACCCAGAGGGGTGTGTATATATATGCTTGTACATGTGTAGTGTGACCTGAGTGCAAGTAGAAGTAGCAAGACATACCTGAAATCTTTCATGTTTATGAGACAGACAAAAGGACACCAGCAATCCTACCATCATGTAAAACAATTACAGGCTTTCGTTTTACACTCACTTGGCAGGACGGTAGTACCTCCCTGGGCTGTCTACCAGCCTACTACCTATATATATATATATATATATATATATATTTTATAATATATATATATAATATATATTAATATATTATATATATATATATTATCTTTCAACACACCGGCCGTATCCCACCCGAGGCGGGGTGGCCCAAAAGGAAAAACGAAAGGTTTCTCCTTTTACATTTTTAAATATACAGGGGAAGAGGTT